TATAATTTTGTCAAATCAAATAATCTATTAAATTACACAAAAAATCTAATTAAAAAATATTATATTAAATATATTTTATAAAAGCAAATGAAATTTATAAATATAATATATATATTATAGAAAATATCAAATAAAAGAATATTATATTAAATATTGTTTTTAGGTTAGGTATAAAAAGTCAGATGCAATGGCGTATGTCGACGCCATTGCGTATAGGTAATGCGGGTTCCGAAATGCGAGTCGGGGCTTTCTTTGCATATAAATCACTGGTTGAACGGCCTTAACATCTCCCATGGGGGCTTACACCGAACCGCCAATAAAAGCGGTCCATCGCCTTCGGATTTTTTTGTTTCTTTTCCTTTCTTTTATTTTCTTTTATTTTATTTTCATCCTCGACACTGCGAAACGAACGTACAAACGAACGAAGAGTTACTACCCTGATCACGAGTATTAAAACGACAATCGGTTGTAAACAAACGAACAACCACGTGCCCCCATTAAGTCAAACTCCTCCCCTTTACCCCCACCACTCTATTCTTATTAGCCAATCGATTTACAGTTGACTTAAAGAAAAAGAAATACACCCAATTTTGTTTCTTTTTTTTTCCTCTTATACAATTTTGATTCAACATAATTTCTATGAAGATAATTTTGGTAAATTATTCATGGTTCATTGTATTATTTTAATTTTGCAAACATCCAAACACTCTAACAAATAATATGCTTGAAAATTCTTATTTAGTAAACTGATAAGTCTTCAATTAATTAAAGATAAAAAGAATTGTATTATTTGTTATTGATTGTATAGGACTGCAAACAATCTTCTATTTTTTTTTTCGATAGATGCAACAATGCAATATATTGTTTTACACTATATCTATCATGTAAAAACAGAATTAAGTGTACATTTATGCAATATATCGTAAAAACGAATACGTGGGAAGACTTGTAGTACACTCCTTGTATTTTTGTTTTCTCCGATATAAGCCCCATAGATTTATGTATTACTTTATAGTATAAAAAAGTGAAATAAAATGATTAATTTGAAAATACAAATAGATTGTATGCGTAGATAATACTTTGACACAATAGTTCTCGAATGTATAGGAAATAAAGTAGTTTGATTCGTGTTAGATTTGCTTCCGTGTTCGATAAGTTAGCAATGAAGGGCTTAATCGTGAAATCCGGCTTCGATGAACTTTATGACGAATATATTACCTTCGCTTCCAAGGTCTCCAGTTGTGCCATTCTCGGCTCCAATAGTTGTTGCTGGGTTGCACCGGTATTGGTATGTAGAGCGGTCTGAAATCAAATAATAGTTATTACTATTATTATTTCTGATAAATAACTAACAAATTTACGATTAAACAAAACAAAATCTAATATAAATTACGAAGCAAACATTAATAAACAAAATAATCTAACGAATGTATGAATACTAAGCCACATTTATCATTGTTTTGAAAAGAAAATAATAGTTATCATTGTTCATGATAAATAATCTTACAAATGTATGAATAGTAAGACACATTTATCATTGTTTTGGAAATAAAATATTAGTTATTATTGTTCATGATAAATAATCTAACAAATGTATGAATAGTAAGACA